CCCCGCGCGGGGCCCTTCGACCCGCGTGGGGCCCTTCGACCTGCGTGGGGCCCTGGCGCCGCACCGGGCTGGGATTTCGGAGTTCCTGGTGCGGTTTCTGGCGGCGGTTTCCGCTGAACCGAAGAACTTGCCATCGTTCGGATCCGTGAGAGGAACGGCTGGCTCCGCCGCCGGCGGTTCCTTCCCACCTTAGGGAATTACCTTTGTAAGAGGCGTTCGGTCTTGCGGTGCGGTGTGCAGGGGTGTTTCTGCTGCGACGGTTTTAAAATCTGTGCTGTTACGCGTTCGTGTAACACGCGTATACTTTAAGCGAGCGCTTAAAGTACTTACAGAATAGTCCAACGCCTTAAAAATACCCGAGGACGGAACTGAAACCTGGTGTGAGAGTTACTCCTCTGAGCGCTGCGGAGCTGGAGTGGCTGTTGGCAGCGAGGGTCGCTCGGTGCACAGGAGAGAACAGAGTTGCTTGGAGTGTTTACGCCCCTGTTTTGCTCTCCTCCTCCATCATTTTGCAGAGGTCCAGGATCCAGGTGTGGCTTTATGAGCAAGTGAACATGCGGATAGAAGGCTGCATCATTGTGAGTATCGGGACGTCCCCTTGTTATTCTTTTGATTGTTTTTTTTAATTCAGATTCGTAAAACTATTTCTTCCTGTCAAGAAAACCTAGCTGGGGGGGGATGGAGATACTTCATGCCTCTCCAATGAATAGCCTTAATTGTCCAGCCGACATCAGCGCAGCTAATGACAGTTTGTATCGTTGTTGCTGAAGTTTAGGTCGGGGGACGTAGCTCACTGACTGCTTTTGTTGCTGATTTTTAGGGCTTTGATGAATATATGAACTTGGTGCTGGACGACGCAGAGGAGATTCACTCCAAAACAAAGTCAAGGAAGCAGCTGGGTACGTCAGTATCTCTGTGTAACCTGAGCGATGTCTGAAACCTGGTTGCGTGAGCCTTCCAAACGGCGACGCTTTGAAGTACAAAACCCCTGACGAGTGTTGAGCGTGAAGTACAGTGAGCAGATACTGGCCAGATCTCGGTTCCTGCTGTTTCCTGAGCTGGTGGTTTTGTTGAATGTGCAGGAGAATCTGCCTCTGCCCGAGGCCGGTTTTTGCCTTTCAAACGCGTGTAACGACGTACGGACCGCGCTGCACTTTTTCTGCAGCCAGGGTGGCTGGAGGGGTCCAGTCAAACTCCTCTCAGCTACGTCTAACGCAGGTGGCCCCCAGCAACTCGGACACTTGCTGTGTCACCTCCGAGTCCAAGCAGGGGACCACCTAAGTGGCGGTATTTAATGTTTACCGCCTGCTGATGAGGATAAGCAGCAGTCTGTGACAGGTGCCGTGTTCGGGCTCTGAGTGGGGACAGAGTGCTGTTCAAACACCGAGCGCTGGAGCGGAGATTGTGTCTGAGACGTTGTAGCGTGAATTGTGAATGTGGGCCCTGCACGACCGTGCTTACAGTCCTGTGGTGCGGCCAGACGGGAAGGGACTCTCTGTTACTGGTGAAAACCTGGTCAGTTATTGTGTGGGCGTCTTCTTGCAGGCACCTTTGCCATTGGTAAATGTTTTTTGAAAACGCGAGGTTATCGTTGGAGTCTGGGATCTCTCTAATCCCCCGTTTCCTTTCTCTGTGTTGCAGGTCGGATCATGTTAAAAGGGGACAATATCACCCTTCTACAAAGTGTTTCTAACTAGGATTTGTTGTTCTTCGCTTAGAACAATGGCTCCAGTGCTTCAGGGAAAATAAAGTGTTACTAGGAGCAGGAGAAGAGAGTAGGCGGGAAGTTATGCGTAACGGGGATCACAAGCAGAGTGGAAAACCCTCGTCACATTGTACAAGTAATTTTTTTTTTTTTGTAGTCTGAAATGGTGGATGATGTCCTTCACAAATAAACGTTTTTCACATTAACTGTAAATGTAAATCTGCTTGCTTTCAGTCTCGTGCCCTTCTGTGAGTGGAGGAGGGGGAGAAATGTATTCAAAGTGATTTTCACCGTGGATCTGCGTAGTCTCTGATAAATGCCTGTGCGTTCTGGAATGTTACATCTGCGTTAGGTGGACAGGGTGGGCTCGTTCAGGATACTGGAGCGACGTGTGGTCCTTGAGCTTGCGTGGTTCTAGTGAGGGACTTGGAGCTGTGAAATAGTAATCCAACATTTACAAACTTTACTGGTAGGCGCGCTTGTAAAATCACTTTTATCTTCAGGTCGGAGAAGGAGAGAGGGCAGTTGGTTTGGATTAAATCTCTATAATTTCTTGCTTCTTTGGGCAGAGTCTCTAGCTTAAACCATGGCACTGTTAAATAACTTGGGATATCAGGTGTATCAGCTGGGGTTTTAATCACGTTGGTTTATTGTTATTATCTGTTTGAGGATCTGGCTGTTCTATTTAAGTTTCCACAAGAGAGACGAGCTGCTTATCACATCAACAAGAGAGAAGTTCCCTGGCTTACTTGGGACTGTCGGTCCCCTCTGCTGCTTTTCTGGTGTGAAGAAGGAGAAAAAAAAGAAACGTTTTGACTGTAGTTGTAACTCAGAGACTAAGATTACCTGGATGGAGAGAAATGAGTCTTGATACCCAGGCTGCACTACAAATCATTTAACAAGCTTTCGGTATTTCAGAACTTACATTTGTGTGTCATCTTAAGCATGAGAATTAATAAACTTATGATGGAAGATTTCTTGCTTCAAAGGATAGAAATACATGAGTCTTCTGGCAGAGGTCATCCAGCATGATGGATGACCGTTCCAAGAAGTCGTACGTCAGGAGTACCGTAGCAGCCGTTCACGGTAAGAAACTTTTGAGAGGCAGCATGACATACTGCAGTGGCTCAGACAGCTCCAGCTGCGCAGCCTAACGGAGTCAGGGGTTCTGTATTTGTGCTCACAAGCTGCAGGGTCCTTTCAGCATCGAGTAAACAGAAATGACCTGCCAGTGTCATTTAGTAATAGAAGTCATCACCAGAAGCTAGCACATACGGAATAAAAGGGTATTTTGAGAGGTCACCTGCATCTGCTTTCCATTTTGTCCTCGGCGTACCAAGTGAGGCTTTCAGGGGATGAAATGTCTCAGTCAATAGTTCAGGTGTTGCAGTAAGGGGTATTTAGGATGCAGTGCTGTAAAATTTACCTGCCTGCGTCTCTTTGTTGTTACAGACAGATGATGGCCTTGAGACTTGATAAAAATGCACGCTCTCTCCGAAGTAATTCTGAAGTAACTTTGAAGTAATCATTTCTCTTTCCAAGTGTTTGTAACTTTTTACGAACAGTTAGTGCGTGTTGAGAAAGAGGTTATTAAATGGGATGTGTTGCATCACATTGCTTGGCTCCAGTTTATCCAGGGCCGCTGAAATAAAACTGGCTCGGAGCCTACAAGGGTCTGTCCTTCTTCCACTTTGCACATGGCTGGCAAGCGGCTGCTTTTTGAGAAGAACTGGACGTTAGGAGAAATAGCTTGTTCTTATCAGCAAGTGCTGCCGCCAAGTCCAAATTGTGCACTTCAAGACACTGTAATGCCTCCTAAAGCTCCCCTGCTCTTCGATATTATCAAATTAGCGCGAATGAACGTCAATATTGGAGTAGGTTGATGATGGGAGGAAGGAAGTCCAGGCTAATCAGCTCTGAAGCATCTCACAAGGTACCAAAATAGGCAGTAATTATGTGCGGGGCGGAGTTGCAGAAGAAAAGGAGAAGCTCCCCAGCAGGAAGCCGTGACAACTGCCGAAAGCCTGCAGGAGAGTCCAGGCGCGTGTGGATGTCCAGGAGGAAACACAGCCCCATTGTTTGAGGGAGTGCCTGGCAATGGAGCGTTGTGGTCCAAGAACAGAGCTTCTAGGCATTACCAGCACATAGATGGGGCACAAAAACAGTTCTGGCTGTGCCAAAACTGGCTTCCCAAGAAGCACTTGTCTGTCCTCATAAAAACCACAGGACTGACTCATCTAAACGCTTGCTGATTTTTTTAACCCCCGATCCTCCCAGCTTCCTGAGTGTTTCCAAGCTGCAGGCAGCAAGAAGGTAACGTCTCACGAGCCGCTTGAACTGTGCAGTGCCAGAATGAGACTCAAAACTGGCTGCAAAAGAGCGCGGTAGACAGAAGGGGGTGCTGCGGGCTCGGCCAGCTCCCCCTGCCCCTCCAGCAAAGTGTCATAAGCCTCGGCAGGAACATAGAGTTCCCCAGCATTCAAGCAGCTTTATTGGCTCCCAAACAACCTGGAAGAAAGCAAACCGGGCCGTCCGGTGCGGGACTGCTCTCAGACGGTGCGGTGGCCGGACAGGGTGCCTGGATCTCCTGGGCACCGGCACCTTCCCCGGTTCGTCCGCACCCTGGCGTGTCCTGCTCCAGAAGGGGATGAGGAGTAGAAGGTTCTGGTTTTGGCTGAGCCAGAGGCAGTGAGGAGGAGCAAGGTAGAGTGAACGCTTACAGTTGGGCTCTGTGTTTAGAAAACTCCCGTCGCTTGGCTTTCTGCTGCCGTGAAGCCTGTTGTGTTTGCTTTTGCAAATCGTGCTTTTCCATAACGTGCAAATTC